CCGGTGAGGAGTCAACCTATCTCTTACGGGACAAGACAAACCGCAATGTAGCCATTCCGTCCCAGCGCTCCAAGCTTCGGAAAAGGAATGGTATCACAGAGCGAGATGGCGAGCTGCTCCGCAGAGCGATGAAGATACTGCGCCATTTTCACCACTTTCTCGTTGACACTTGGATCAAGTCTGTGGTGGAGCATCTGTGCCAGGCAGTCGTTTAGTTTAAAGCGAGCTCTGATCCGTCGGCTGCTTCTTGCCAGGATCCGAGCACACAGTGGTTACCATTCTATCCCATTCAGCATCTGACAGCTGCCGCAAGCCATGTCTTTGTTTCAAAGTTTGCCGCCACCTTAGACTTGGGATGGGTCTGTCGTGCCGGGGCTTACGGCGTGCGCACGGTCTGTTGGAACTTCTTCGGACCCGTGATAGCAAGGTCGGTCAGGGTCGGGCACTCTTCCTGCTGATCAACGCAGGCACGCAGACGGCTGGCACTCAGGCCGGTTTTTCTATGCCGGCTATGCCCAGCTGTTGCCGTCACTGCAAGCACTGTCGCTGACAGTCGTCATCGCCATCAACAGTGCCACTACCTGCAGCACTATATACCATGTTGGATATCGCCATGCATATTTCCACACAACAGTGTCCTCAGAAAACTTCACTGTCGACGTCAGCATCAAGCGTCAACATCAGTCGCCACCACCGTCAGCACCAACTCCAAGACAGTCTTGTCAAGATTAGGGTAGGGGATTTTGCAGCCTGACTGCAAAGCGGCCTTGTCCACTCTTATTGAAGGTATTGCCTTGGTGGTTCGGCTTTGTGGCGGTTTGTCAGCGCAGCACACCTTCCAAGTTATTGGTTTGCCGATCTAGCGCTCATATTGAATGTTCAGAGCTGCGATCGAAAAACACTCCTTCAAGGCTGATAAGGCTGTGGCATTTCCAGCCCGAAGTTCTCAAAAGGCCCAGGTTGCGAAGCAAAACTCGCCAGACTTCCGTTCCCCCGAGCTCGGCCTACCATGCCTCGGAACTGTTTGGATAGACATGTCGCCCACAGCAGCATCTGGACTCAAAATCGTGAGCATGCAAGTCAGGACTGGGCATTGTCGACCCCGATAGTTGGGCATCAGGAGTTCTATAGTCTGTACCTCGTCTCAACGAAGGGCGCGATGCCTTTTTGACGTGCTCAGAGGCCAGGTTGAGCTAAGGTACCACGGCAACGTGCAAATCCAGACCAAGAGTCAATGTATCGTGGATGCACAAAGCCTTCTTCGGAAGCATTTCCGCCATGCTTCAGCGAGCCATCTGCCCCCATGGCTGAGGCCTCGTGCAGTCTTGTGCCGAGAGGCATCGAGGGTATCTTGGACGGGGAACAGGGGCCATCATGCAGAAAACGTCGCCTGTTGGCCCGGCTGTGCTTCTTCAAAAGTAGTTAAGTAGTCTCGTAGCGTGCGCATGTACATGCGTCGCATTTATGGTCAGCCTTGGTAGATGTGAGGGTGCCGACCCCGCCCGCCAGTTGTATGGCCAGGTGCTGCTGGCATTCGCCATGCACGCAAATAGATTTGAGAGACCAACCTAGGAAGACAGCAGAGCTGCGGGTTCCTGTCGAAGGGCGGGGCCTTGGTGCGATTCTTCAGGTCGGTGGCTTGACGAGAACTCAGACTTTCAACAGGAAAAGGTTTCGCTTGAAAACATCGCTCGCAGTGCTTTGCCCCCGGCGAGTCGCCGAGGTGAGGGCCAGCTTACGCCTCGTGACCTGGAGATCATGCGAAAGATGGACTCGCTGACAGCCTCTTGGCCTTGGCGCATTTGGCCCTGGAGCTTTGCGCCGCTCTGTTCCAGTTTCTGGCTTGAGGCTAAATCCTTGGGATCCTTTGAGGAAAAGGCCCTGAGTCCGACTGAGATGCGCCTTGATGCCACCGCTCTCACGTGCTTGGGCGTGCGTGCCATTTTTCGCAGGCTTCCACTGTTTCTCAACTGTCGTCGGCTATGAAACATCGCCGAGCTACAACTCAGAATACCAGCGGGATGGTTGCAGTGAGCGGACGAAGTGCGTACGAGTTCCGAGTTTCATGGCTGAAAGGTCGCGGGCATGTTTGTCAGCCCAGCACACACCTGCTGCTGGAGTCGAAGGCAGCTTTGCTAGCCGAGGTTGCCGGTTCGGAAATCGAAGACACGCGGAAGAACGGCAAGCAGTTTGTCAAGCTTGCCGTGGATGTGCAGCTGCTTGCTCAAGTGACGCAATGAGTGTAGGGTTCCGGCGGTCATCTGGCGAAGTTTCAGATTCGAATATCTGCCTCACCAAGTGCAATGTCCCCACAGTATTACCAGAGATCCTAGTAGCCGGGAGAAAAGCTGCAACAGGATACAGCATGATACAAATCCCGCAGTGAAGATGTGGACGTTCCCTTTTTGTCTTGGCCTGGCAAGCAGGCGAACTTCCCAAATTGAAGGTCCACCAGAATTCTCAAATGCAGAACCTGATGCAAGTAGAATCAAGCCGCACGGTTGTTCTAATTGTCCGGGTACGAGTGATGGTTGCCTGGCATGGCGACTTCACTGCAAACCTAAAGCACCAGAATTGGCCAATCAGACACTGGGAATTGCAAGGCTCAGCATCTGTTACTGCAAAGGACAGCAGCATCTTCACGTACTTGCCAGGTGTTAGAGTCCAAAACCAGGGTCGGGGGAGCGAGGGGGGGAGGGGGCGAACAAGTATACGGATTTGGGAACCACAAGGATGTAGGTGTAGCAGTGCAGGAGCCAGTCGTGACAGCAACGGCTGACATGCGAAAGCAGCCGAACGGGCTTGCATGTCAGGCTCTCAGGGGTTGGATAGTTAGCTGCTCGCTTCCAAGGTATCCCTGGGAAATGGAGCCTGTCAAGTATCACAAGCCGCAAACCCTAAGCATCGACGATCTTTGGGTGGACAAGTTGCTTGACTTGAGAATCTGGATGTCTGCTGGAACTCCGAAATGGAGCTCCGACTTTTCCTCTTCCAAGGTATCCGGTCACAAATGAGATTTACGCCTCCTTCCTGAAGCAGTCCTCCTATGCACCAGAGACCTGTCAGGCATTATGCCAAAGACTCGTGGCCATAGGCTTCAGTCGTAAAGCCGTCAGGTCGACTCAAGCAGCTTCTTGCGGCACTGGGGTTGTCCTGGCACGAGCGGCACCAGCCCGAAAGACTGCTCGGTGCCTCCTGGCCTGGCCAAAATGCCGGTGGTCTTCGCAGCCCGGCAAGAGAAGGCAACCTGTAACACGGATGCCACATGCCCTTTCTTTCCGAGGTGAGCCGTCAGGATGCCGAAGAGTTCTGCGACTTACCTGAACAGATCTTTTGAACAGTTCCGTAGCGCTGTGGCCTTGACATGTCCACCGCAGAGCCTAGCTTTCAGACTTTTTCTGTGCCAGGCACCTTCTATGGCAAGCGGCTTCCAAGAGAATGGGAATGGCAATATGTTGCACAGGCCCCTGCTCTTCGGTGCTTCTGTTCGCGCTGTTGTGGTATCCCGCTCACATCTGATGGCTGACGACTTTGGCCGGTACGTGCAGGCAGGAGACCCTGACCGCACGTATCCATGGGGAAAGTGGTGGTGGGAGGAAGCTGTCCCCGCACCGCAGGCAAATGCAAGTGTGTTTGCCTTGGGTTCCTACGCGGCAGAAAGTGCTGGGAGGCTCGTAAGGATAACTCTTACTTCATGAAGCAAGCAATGCTAAGGCGAAGTGGGGCGTTTCCCGAATGGGTCCAGCCCTGACGGCGTGGAGGATTTAGTTGGCCTCGTCTGGCAGTGGACCGACGAGTATCAGGACGAACATAATCGTGCAGCTGTTCTGCGAGGCTCCACGTTTGCGTTGGAGGAAGCTGTGACTGCCGTATGGGTCTCCAGAGTTGCACCAAGGGGGCTCCACCTTCCAGCCCAATGCGCACGATTCGGCCGGCGTCCCTCATCCGCGCTACCAGCCTTGGTATTTTCCTGGTCGCGCTCCAGCAGGAGATGTTCTACTTGTGTTTGGCTAGGAAAAGGGTGTGGCTAGGGCTCGGGTGCTAGTATAGGTTTCGTTCAGAGGAGCTTGGGACGCCAAATGGACCGGTGATCACTACTTCGGCCCGAAGGAGACGTGCGGGGAGCAAGGGGTTCATTACAGGAAGTCCTGGAAGTAGTAGGGAACCACGAGCTGCCTGTGCCAATTCCATTTTTGGGGGCGGCCTTGTACCCGCACGATTCTCACAGTACTTTCAATTAAGCACCTCTGGTTTCAGGGTGATGAATCTGCTTTGGCTTTGAGGTCAGGCAGTCAAACAATGGCGCACCATTTGCCGACTTTCCAATGGTACAGCTCAACAAAACGTGTGTGAGGCTTCAGAACTTGCCAGACGATTGTACCGTTGATACAGACTCTACAGCGTTGCCGGGAACCGTGTGGCTCCGCACCGAACGTACAAAGGCAAAACAATGGCAAACATTGCGCATACAGAAGGTAACTGGAGTAGGTCAGGGGAGGGTAGGGCCTTGCTCCAATGCACAACTGTGCGAATTAGGTTCGAGGTTGCATGGGTGTGTGACACCGGTCGATGCCCTCGATTACGGTAAGTCGGATCATGGCTGGCTATCAAGCACGCAGTTGTCGACTGCAATCGGCTGTGTGCACCTGACCTTTGCAGAGTTCCCTTCTGGCTTTCCGCCAAATTGCCGTTTTGCTTGGCCGTGCAGGACTACAGAAGTCTGTTCAAAAACACCGTCCATGCAAAGTACCTTCTCATGGCACCCTCCTTGGACCGAGCGGGTACAATTGGATTCCGATGCGTGGCTGATAGAGCCTGAAGCGGCTTCGTGGCATCGCGAAGCATGTCGAGGGGTACTCGAGAGGGCTGAGAGGTCAGCCCACCTCTGTCACCAAGCCGGTGATTGCAGAGTCAGGTTTCACATCACGTTTAAGTGCCAATTGAGTTTAAAAAGTCCTTAAGTCACCTGAGATTTCGGCCCATTCAACGAGCTCCTGCAGGCTCTGCCTGTGCCAAGTGGTGTGCTAGCCTCAGCATGGCGGACCCAGCATGAGACGGACTCCTTCCCTGTGCCAGATCTTGAGCTTAAGCATAGCTGGCTGTTAGGCACCGGTGTCGCCGGGGACTATGATGCCCTCAACCCGTGGGTGCGCCTTTGTACAAGTTTAAGGCAGACGTGCCTGGTTGGCTGCTGACGGAGTTGTAAGGTACCGATTGGCGCAAGAGTGGATCGAAGGGTACAGCGTGCTGGCCTACGCTTCGCATGTTTCACGCGAGGAGCGCGATGTCAAGCAGCGACGCTCGAAACGAGGTTCAGCCGCTCACGCAGACGACCATGTCTTACACGCCCAGGAGGAGGTCAGATGCTACAGCGACCAGGTGGCCTCTTAACAGCGCTTGCAAGTCTGAGGCCTGTGGACATCGCCGACTTCTCTGGCAATTTCCGGGACACGGCAGAGGCTAACGCGCACAACATGTCCAGGACCTGACCGCACCAGGAGCTTACCAACTCTCAGCGACACAGCCGCAGGATCAAGGCTTCTTTGGAGAACATGACCCTCCTCAAGGTGCCGCCTCGAAGGGAATCCCGCACTCAGTTGCGTAAGCAATTTGCTTCCGTTCCAGGCCATGTCAGCTTGAAGCCGTATTGTCGTAAAACCAGCACAGAGCTCCGAGTCTCCTAAGCTGGAGCGTGTCTCTCTCGCCCCCTCTTTGCGCAGGAAGCCTTGGAGATTTTCGGTGCGTGTGATCACGAGAGGCCGCAAGTGAGATCCCACGCCGTTTGTCCAGAACGTTGGGCCCGCACGGGCCCTTGCGCTTGAACAGGAAGGGCTACCTGTCCTGGGACTCTGGTGAGATCCAGAGCTTTATTTCCAGGGTGAGATGCTCGGATGATGTCAATGGGCAGCAATGAGAAAGGCGGCAGTGTTGAGTGCAGGTCTTCATGCAGCAGGGCTTGATATCGCCGAGAAAGGCACTTCTCAGCTAGTTGACACCGTCATGTACAGTCGTAGCATGACATGGCCTGATGAACTGACCAGGAGCAGATCCGCGCCCTGTTTCGTGGCTTTCAGAAGTCATGCTGAGAGCTCGGCGTTAACGAAGGCTGCTGGTCCCGTGAGGTTTGCAGCTTTCGACCTTGATGGCAACGGTCGTGGCTGCCTCGAGGGAGGCAGAGTGCCTTTCCGAAAGGCTCTGCCCGACACCGAGGTTTGGAGCCTCGGGAGTGCATGTGCATGGTCGATGCCTTGGCCCGCCGGGAACTTGGATGCTTCCGATCTGCGAAATTGTGGCCTTGGGCGCAGCTGCAAGGTTCAATCATCCTGGCGCAGCCTCCCGGATCGCAGGAGCAGATCCACGTTGATGTCCTTGGCATTGTTTCCCTGGTGGTCCCGGATCTCTCCTGGTTCTCCTGCCTGGCAGATGCCTGTTCGCAGACATGGCAGGTAGACGCATGTGGTGCAATCTTTGCAATATCCCCAGACCACTACATACCTGTGCACGCTTGATGTCCTGGTTCGTCTTCTGCATATTCTAGCATATTGGGCATGTGCTTTTTCTTGGAGTGCCAGAACTGTCTCCATTCGCAGGCTTGGGCAGCGGGAGCAACGACTGTGCCAGCGTGCCCTAGCTACGCTGCAAGCGTGTTTGGAGACCGCATTCAGAGCCACTGCTGTTGAGAGGGGGTCGCTGAACTGCGGATGCTGGCTTTGGACCTTGGCATTCACAGCCACTGATGTGGGAAAGGGGCGGCTGATGCTGATGAGGCTGGCTTTGGGCTGTGGCTGATGTGGGAAAGGTGCGGCTGATGCTGATGATGCTGGCATTGGGCCTTGGCTTGCAGAGCCACTGGTGGGAAAGGGGGCGCTGATGCTGATGATGCTGGCTTTACTCGTGAACAGTTCACAGACCACGGAGCAGTTCGCTGTTGAGCCCGGGAGTTCGCGGATGAGTAGCTATGCAGTCGTTGTGCATGCAGGTACAGTCTCGCGGAACAGTGGCTTGCAGATTTCAGACCGACTGACGTCCAAGAGGGCCTAACTGCACAGCTCTCGGCACAGGTCCTGCTTTTGTCATGTGCGACCCCAATTGACCGCACTCGCCGAGGTCCGCTATTGGATGGAGCGCAAGCTTGCGCCTGTGGAACGCTGTGTGCATGAGAAGTCACTGAGTGAAGAGCTCGTTTTCAATCGCGCCCCAAGTGGACGAACTGATCATCTCCGGACGTTTATGCTCAAATCTTCCAGGTTGAATAAAATCAGGGCCTAAATCTGGCCCTGAGCCATGTCAACAAGAGCAGTATCGCGCTCATCAAGACCGAGCGAAGGTGGCTCAAGCGCTCTTGAGTCCAGTGAAGAGGAAGAGGAGCAGCAGGTGATTAAGGATGTCTCCCACCGTGTTCATGCGATACGTTCACCCTTCATCGTGGCCGTGTGTGTTGAACTCGCATTCTGTGTTCTGATGACGCGATGGATGGATGAAAGTCTTACACACCCATCGCCGCTGGACAGAGTTTTCGTATTCGCTCAGGAGAAGAATTTCAGGACATCACTGTGGATAGTCTTCGCTGTGACAGTCCTCGGCCGCCTCGTCTGCCTCGTTTGGTCCGACACCCACATCCTACAGAGACGCAGCGGACGTGTGGTCGCCATGCTGTACATCATCTTCGGCACGGTGCAGTGGCTGTTCTATTTGTCGGTCTACTATGTGGAGGTTGATGCTGCAAGTAGTGTGAGAAGGACTCACCGACTGAATCTTCAAATAGAGGAAATTCCGACATTGCTGTCGAAAGTCAAAGGGGGAGACTTGACGGAGTGTTTGGAGCAGAACGAATGGAACTACAAAGCTTGCGCGTTTGACGTGCAGGGCACATGTGCTCTTGCGTACGAGCCTAGCAAAACGTATGAGAACGGAGACTGTGTGTCCACCATCCTCGTCCAAGGTGTTAAGTGTTGCGTTTCAGAGACGATTTCGATGTCACCGCCACAAATGAGACTCTTTGGACACGTCTGTGACGTTGAGATGATCTTCATGGTTATCAAGTGGATGGTAGTGTTGCTGATGGGCTGGACCCTGCGTCACGGATTTCTTGCTGGAAACATCGGCGAAAGAAGCTTTAGCCAGGGTGCTTGGCTCGACGTTCTTGATGCTGTGATTTTCAGTGAGTTCCTCAACAAGAACGAGGTCAGATATCCGGCCTACGGTTTCACGGTTGCTGGGAAGCCACAGCTACGAGACTTGCGGCCGTTGGCCGCGTTATACATGACCTGGATGACTGCATTCTCAGCAGTCATTCTTTCCCGCATCTTGTACACTGCCCTCGTCCCAGCCGTGGAGGAGAACGGAGATCTTGGCATGGGGCCTGCCAAGGTTGAAGACGCTGATGCTGACACGAAGGAAGCACCTCAAGGCTTTCCTGTCCGGGTGGTTCACGACCAAGAGTCTGAAGAAGAGCACGGGTTCTTCACCCACTGCACCACCAAGGACGTGCAGTTGGATCCGATAGGCAGAGCTGTGGCCCAAGCTCCGGGCACCTACCTTGTAACATATGAGGATCCCGATGTTGAGCCCGAAGTGGTTTCAGCAGATCGCTTGGCCCCGCTGCTGGACTACAAGGTCGATATTCAAGCAATGGAGGAGGCCGCGGATGTGAGGGTCAAGGCTGAGTGTTCAGGATGGCTGGACTGCAACGCATTGTGTGCAGGGAGCCGGTACGAGCGCTTCAATCACCGTGCCAGAGTTCTAGATGCAATGCGATCCCTGTTTCTGCTAAACCTTCCTTTCATGCTGTGGCGTCTCTACTTTGATGCTTTCACAGTGAACGTGGTCACCCTCGGCGGGAACTTTATGCTCATAGCCAAGAACTTTGTATGGTGTCTGATGGATTTAGCAATCATCCTGAGCTGCACTCGGAAGGATGCATCCGTTTGCTCCTGGAAGCCTATCGAGTTCCTTGAGAGGGCCGCAGAAAGCAGATTTGGGCAAGTCTGGGTCGGCCCCAACGGCATGGTGGCGCTCGTTGCGGAAATTGGCGGCTCTGCCCGCATGGCCCAGTTAGAAAGGCGGAAGCAATACCTTCAAAGCTACAAGAAGTGGATCTTGTCGGAGCAGGCCGAGGCTGAGCACAAAAGTCAGCGTGACTTGTACGACAGGCCTCTACAAGAAGTCGAGAGTCGGCTACTCGAAGTCGACGAGAAGATGCACTTCACCTTCCCATAATAGCAAAGCTCCACGCTGCCCGCAGACGTCCCGGGGCTCAGGCTCAGTCTCTGTCTTGGCCCGAAGCGGTGGCCAAGTAGGGGGAAAAGCGCGATTTCTCTTCGAGCAGACGATGAGCTGAGCATCTGATTGTGTCTAAGCATCGTTTGACTCTTCAAGCCGAGGCCCGTTGATCTCCGTGAACTGGCGGTCCACCTGCGGACCGTCGGGCCACACAATGCCAGACATAAAGCCAGGACACGGCCCGGAAACTGAGATTGCAAGACTCTGAAGGAAAAGTAGGCAGTGGGCAAAGACTGGATGCTGGTAATCACCCCGCGCGGTGTGCCAAACATCTGACTCAGTCGAAGCCAGGACTCCCAGCTAAGCGGCATGTCTCAGAAATTCTCAGAAGCGAAATTGTAGTTGTTCGCGGAAGCGGTAAGGCCAAGCACGTTTTGAGCGCACGTGCAAAGATGTGTCGAGCTCCGAAATGGTACAGGTCGCGTGCGTCCGAGCAACTGAATGATGCAGGATGATTCATGCCATCGAGACTGGCGAGTTTCTGAAGGCAGGTCGTCTGGTGATCTCAGTCCTCTCAGCTAGTAGGCTCCCGGACTCTGCAAAAACTTCAGGTCAGAAGTGACCGGGCTTTCTGCAGCGGGGGTCGCTGTCAGGAGGCGTTTCAAGTCTTCAAGGAATGCGACAGAGACAGGACAGGCTCCGATGGAAGGTGTGCTTTGCCTCGTGTGACTCCTTGTGGCATGGTGTCCCCCGCTGTGCTTCCAGGAATGGCCAGCTGACCTGGAACGAGCGAGAGATCCCCAAATTCTTTGGCAAGGCTGCGCAGGGGGCGCGCGCAGTGCAGGCATCAAAGGTGAGTGTGAAAAGCGCAAGCGACTTGCCGAAGGTTTTCCGGAAATATGATCTGGTCGAGCCGAAGGAGGCCGCCTACGAAGAGCCATCAGTGTGAACTGCTCTATCTGCTGGGCAAGCTTGAGTTCAAGTTCTGTAGGCAGAGCTCTACGAGATCTACAGGAAGTATGATGTTGATCAAAGCTACAGCTTGGATGTCCGAGAGAGCTTGTGCCTCGTACCGTCCTCAGTTTCGGAGCCTCGCGACGCCTATGTCGGTACAACGAGTCAGTGTATAGATTCGGTGGTACCGTTTCCGTCGGCTCTGCAGCCGCTTCAGTGCTGGTGGCGAGGTCGATGCTGTCGTCGGGAGCTTACTTTGTGCATGGGGATCACGGGCTCTGGCGCTCCTTGACAGCGGACCCAGAAGAGGAAGTCACCAACAAATCTCCGTCGTAGTAAATGCGACCTTGGTCAATTTGGGCATAGATGATGCTTGTTGCCTGTCGATCTGTCGATCCGACTGTGGGTTTAGTTGTCTCGGCCCTAAAGCCGTTTGGTGGTCTTGCATGATGCCTTTCCGTGCAGAATGCGGGGGGTATGGCGATAATTGCTGCCACCTGACCTCCCGAATCACCGGCGCAAAAAGACAAACAGATTTTCAGAAGAGGCCTTCGACGAATCAGGGTGTTTCAGTTTTGTGATTTCCGACCCGAAACATGACACATGAAGCAAGCCACTGTAGCGACACAGTTGTAAATCCAGCCTGGCAACCCAAGGTCCGAGCCATGTACCTGGATGACTCTGTGGATGCCTCAGACGCAGCTCCACGCCCGATTGCTTTACCATCTGCTTCGCTTCCATTGCACTCAAGCAACCTGATCTGCTGACGGAAAGTCTGAATTCCGCTTCTTGTTGAAACTATGTCACTATGTGAACTTGAGTTCACTTCCTTTAGATGTGCACTTACCATCTCCTATTGCAGTCACCGCGCTCCAACCGTTCGGGGAACCGCGTGTCCTTCAGCGAGGAGGCATCACTGGCGATTCGCTTGATTGGGAGACTGGAGCAGTCATGCAATCAGACGCAGCATGACGCAGCCACAATGCCAGGTCAGCCCAGTGCAATCTGCTGGTTCCCACGTCGAGCGTCGCAGACTGCTGAGTGACCAGGCTCACCGATCCAGGTTTTGAACATTTGATGGACTCCTTTTCAAGCTCCACGTGAAGCAGCTCTCTCCTTTGAGAGAGCTGAGCTTGTCTGCTCGTCTGCTCGTGAGGAAGCGGCAAGGCGAGTTGCCCTGCAAGAAGCGGCCGCGGAGCAACAGCTCGAGCTTTTGATCAGGCCGAAGCATTGTGGGTTCTGTCTCAAGACTCAAGACTTAGTCAACTTCGCGTCGCCATGTGCGTGAGGAGACGCAATGAAGCCATCCGAGAGCGAGACACGCTGGTGACTTTGTTCGTCCGACTCTCGGTGCTTTTGCTTTTGTAGCACCGCCATCGGAAGGCAGAGCTGAAGCCTCGGAGCTCAGGTGGTTCTGGGAGCTTGGCGACAGTTTGCAGCAGTCCTACACGGGTCGTTTTGCTGCAAGGGCCGGGCCTTTGTCGAAGGTTCACTGAATGTGCAGACTGTCTCGCAACGCCTTAGTGTGATGCGATAGGAGTTGCTGCTAAAAGACTCGAAGGATGACTTTTTCGCAGCATAAGGCTGTGCACGAGCTCGCGGCCAGAATGAAGGAGGCTGGTGATGACGAAAAGGTATGAAAAGTGAAAAGGTTGATGTTGCGCGGCACGTTCAGTGCCAAGGGTAGTAAGGAAAATGACAGCCCTCTCCTTCACCGTTGTGGCATTCAATGACCCGAAAAGCGCTACAGCACAAAGCAGCAAGAAAGTGCTGCCATCGTATCGACAGGAGTGGAGTTCGAAGCTTGAAGAGGCCCGGAAGTGCTTACTTCTTAGGTTTTCTAATTGCTTCGCTTTTGACGTTCCTATGCTGTGGCAGCTTCACCGACTGGCAAAAGGATGAACTCTGGTGGCCTCGGTTTGTGCTACGGAGTGAAGATGCCACCTCGGTGAGGCAGAGAGGAAGCTGCGCGAGGACTGCATGGAGTCTGGGAATGTGGAGACTACGGTCAGGCTCAGGGGAATCAGAGGCAGTGAGTAACATGTGTGCGCTATGGTGTGCTCTTCAGAGCAGAAAGTTTGCGACGCCTGAATCTTGCCAGCGGCATCTTCTGGCCCAAGCTTAATCCATCCTTATCCTCATTGCAGTCTGCATGATGCTCATCATAGATGAACGTCTGTTCATTGACCACAAGAAACCTTCGTAGATGTGGCAGGTATAAGTTGTGCGCCGTGATCCATGGATCGAGTCTTCACAGACGCGGAATGTTGCCGCCCTGTGACTCTGACAGGACCGTTGGCAGTTCTGGTGCTTTGCCCTGCAGTATCCCGAGCCCTGACTCGCTGCTCCGATGTAAGCCGCTGGAGCGACGATACAGAAAAGGAGTGCTTTGGCAGTGCTGCGGCTGCCTCCAGACGTGGCGGCCGGGGAGTACTGCAATCGAGGCGACGAGTGAAGGAGCTTTGCCCCCAGCTCTTTTGGAGGGTTCTGTGCTTCTATGACCGAGGCGACGACCTGGCGGAAGAGCGTCCCGAGGGTTCGAAGCTGGTCTGGTTCTTCCGACATGGGCAAAGCACGGGGAATGCCGTCGCTCGGAGAGTTCAGAAGCCCCCGTGGCAGTTTAGGCGGCAGCTCGTGGGGGCAGCGATTTGGGATGCTGTTACCGCAGGCTCGCCTCGAAGCGATGGAAGCAGACAAGGCCGCTGGAGGCTGATGCGCTTTCCAGATCGTGACTGTGCAAATTATTAAAGCCATCTAAATCTAAACTGTTTGTGAGATATGTCGTAAGCACGTGACGCTGGAAGTGCAGACGCAAGCACGTGTATGATACGCTTTTTCGGGGCAACGATCACGGGACAAGTGCGGGCGATGCAACACGGAGGATGGCCGGCTCCAGGAGCGCGTGCATAATTCGATCGCATCCCAACGACTTGCTGAGTCTCACAGAACTACCCTTCGCTGCTCTCCCGCGGTATGCTGGTGGCTCGATCTGACAAGCTTCATTGCATTCTTTCATGGTTGCTCCAGTTGCAGATGGTCGATGCCAATCGCACTCGGTTTCCGCTCGCGATTCTTTTGTCCCTGAGGTTAAACTAGTGTTCTATCGTCTTTCGAACCAGCGCTGCAGTCACCTGGGATTTCGACGTTGGAGCACATGTTGTAAAGTGTGGTGTGGTTGTGCGGTGATCCATCTCGGGAGCTTCAATCTTGCATCAGGAGGTAAAGAACACCTCCAACAATACATGACTGGCCGGGACTACGTCGACGCAAAGTTGACAGAACATGGTGCACAGGAAGCCGAGGCTGTTCAGAAACAGGCAGGCTCGTTGCAAAGGGCGCAGGGCGTATCTTGAGTTTACAGTCTGCCTTCGCAGGCTGAACTTGATATGGGTTTAAACTGCTATAGTCGACTTCGTAAACAGATTCAATTCAGCTCTCCTCGCAGATTGCTGACTGGAAAGCCAAGCCGCACCTCATCATATGCTCACCTATGACTCGTGCTATTCAGACGGCTGCCATTGTTTTTGCCGAAGATCCTTGGCGAATCCTTGAGTCATCCTAGACTGGTCGTTTGGGCGCTTGCAACATATTCTGACTACGAGCCTTCGCGAGAAGGAGCTGATGCAGGGCTGCGAACTGTTCCTTCGACGCTCGGATGCGTCTCCTGTGCAGAACTTTGAAGAGCATGGCTCCGGTGGTGTTTACAGCATTGTCTGTGTGGCTGCGTCGGTGATGCAACCGAACTTTTGGATTTTCTGAGGACCAGAGCTAAGAGAGTTCTATCCCGACAACAACGAGAATCAGGGCCGTCCGGTCTCTGAGCTGCAGCATTGCCCAGCACTTTCGGCTCTTCCCGCTTGGCCAGCTGTGGAGAAGGCCAGATCCGGTGATGCCACTGTTCAGATGGAGTCGACTATTCCTAGGTCCTATAGGTAGTTAAATGTTGGGACGCGCCATGTAGAGCACGTCTGCGCATTCTGGAGTCTGTAGAGGCCCTATCCATCGCCGCTGCTTCGGAGTGGCGGAGGGCATGGGATGAAAGCCTTGCAGCTGGAGATGGCTGGCAACAGCACTGCGGGAGTATCGACAGGCCCTCTGGCATACCTTCGGAACGAGCATTCTCATCCAAAATGAGACGGTTTGAATCTCGATCAGGCTCGTGCCTTTCCGGAACTGGCTGATGATGCGGCCCGAAAGCAACCTTGCCATAGTAGCACACTATGGCTCCATCAACAACTTGCTGAACATGGAGCCCTTCGAGCGGAGTGTCAGGGAGTCTTTTCAGAAAGCTGGCTGGTGTAGGAATTCCTCAAACCTCGTAGCTGCCTCGGGTGGTTGTCAGTGGTGGCTGAGGAAGAGAAGCTGCGTTCATGGAGTGGAGTGCACTCAGATACGCCTCGGACTGCCATGAAGTACTTCCTAGTGCCAAATTGTGGCTGGGTTGCAGTCCTTTACGAGCCAACGGCTCAGAATGAGCAGCTCGCCAGCTTGAAAAAGCCTCTGCCGTCTCAGATCTGCCCCGGCATTTGCTTGTGTGCCCCGGCAACTCCAGGAGCAGAGGCGTTTCCAGAGCCGCTTGGAAGATGAGCTCGACAGGCTGGGGCCTAATGCACTCTCTATGGTGGATGCACTCGCGTTTTGTCGTGCCGTTCCAAGTTCTCTTGCCTCACAGTCTAAGAGCCTTCAAACCACATTCTGCTTGGTGGAGGCAGCGGAGCAGCGCCGAGCTCAGTTCGGGATGGTTTGGTTTTGCCTCCTACCTTTGAAGAGTGACGCATCCTAGAAACGGCCGGAATATGCTGGAAGATGGGTTCAGAGGGCAAACCAACCCTGCAGACGGGGAATCCAAGCACTAAGCTTTAAGGTACTGGGCAGGCCTATGATCAGAAGTTTTGGCTGAGGGGCCCTCGACACCACGACCAGTATCGTCTCTGCTGCCGGCTATGCGGAGGCTGCAGCACAGGCATGGCCAATGGCAGGGACGGTTTCAAGCTGCTCGTATGCTTGCTTTTAGTTCTCGCTGCTGTTCCCAGCATCGAGAAAGATCGGGATGTGAAGAGGGCCATGTCAAAGTCTTGCCTCTCCTGCGAAAGAGGAGTGGTGCAGTTCACATGTTGCACGTGATCTTGGCTTAACTTTGCTTGGATAGCATGACATGCTCTCGTCTACCCTGCCCGCCTGCCTGATCTCAACAAGCACACCAACTACATCTACATGTAGCCATCTTTCAATCGCGATCTGGGGGTCAATATCAATATGTCTCTTTCCTGGCAGGCAGAGGAGGAGGCTGAGCAGCGCTTTAAGAAGGCATTGATGCTTGCGTCTGTGTGTTCACTGTGTGTCTGATGTGAATGTGACAGGAGCGGCACCTGTGGGAGACGCGCTGTAAGGAGGAACGGGAGCGACGTGAAAGTGGCTAGCCCGGTAAGAGTTGGGGCAGGGCACGCAACGCGCCAACGCTTGGCACTTACGCTTGGCGCCTTTCTCTCGTCGAGGCTTGCAGGTGGCCCAGGCAGCGGCAATTCAGAAGGCTGCCATGGGCCCGGCGGGCCGAGTGATCGCTCGTGATCGCTCCGTGCTTAGACCATGCGAGCCCGGCTCGTCGCGGCTGCGCCTTTCTGAGGCAGCCGAAGCAGAGAGGAGGGCCGAAGCACGCTTCGAAGAGGCTGGGCGTGGCAGACTCTCTCGGCTTGGGGGCTCCGGGAAAAATTCTGGACAAATCGCAAGGAGAGACGGATCTTTGAGCAGCGTCGTTGCCTTTGGATCCTCGCGGAGCAAGCCGCTGCCCATTGCAGCCTTCCTTTTGAACCTTGGAAATCGAGGTTTGAAGGAGGAGCGCGAGAAGCGCAACCGTCACAGCCTCGGCTGTAGAATCGCAGACGTGACTAGAACTGCGAGGAAAGTGGGAGCGACCAGTAAAAGGCCCTAGATGAGTTACAAGTCAGTCCAAGCTCGCCCGCCTTCACGATCCGTGCTCTGCAGCCCATTGCGAAGAGACCTGGCATCCACCTTCTGCCGGATCGGGGGCTCCGAGGTGCAGAAGCAGCCAAGGCACAAGCGCTGGACCACTACCTGGCCTTGCCCTCATGGCTTGACTGGACGGCTGGACGGAGGTCTCGCTTTAGGTGTTGTTGCTGCCCGAGGCCGAAGTACGGACACAGAAGAAGAATGCCGTCCAGAAGGTCATCGACAGCTTAGTGCCTGGGCAGGATCAGAAAGGGACCCTGCTCGATCGGGCCTGTGTCTTGCTCCGCCCGTGAACGCACCGAGTTCTCGAAGACCCGAAAGACTGCAGCGGGCGAGCTGAAGCAGATCGCTTCTTCCTGGCTTACCATCGCCAAGGTGCGGTGGCCCATTGTGCTTGAGTTTCCTACAACACTTCGCACCCTTCTGCTTGCGAAGGCGGGTGCCCGGAGGAGGCGGCGTGTGGATGCAGTCGACAAGGCAGGCGGTCCTCGGAGCTGTCCTCAGGAGTTCGCTCCAACCGCACTTGCCCTGCAAAGTTCCCTGCGGAACCCTCCAGCCACTTTGAGCAAGGCTAACATCTACCGATTTCAGCAGTTTGTGTCCGAAGTGTGCGTGCATAGAAGGACGCTATGTGTCTGGTTTGCCCAACCTGAGTCTGTACAGATCTGTTTTTGTTGTTGTTGCTGCGTTCGTGTCGGAAGCATAGAAAGCCAGTTTAGTCTATAGTGAGACTCCAGAAACAGATCAGTTGAGCGGCCTTGGGCAGCCGAAGGTTTGCATGCAGAAAGCCGTCGAAAGAATTGTGTATCTGTAGTTCTCGGCACGAAGCAACGCCTGGATCTGTTGGGTACGAATCGATCGAGATGTGCTTGTGAAGCTGGCGGTAGCAGCGTGTTACAGCAGGTTTGGCGATGGAAGTGATTGACAACAGCCAGCAGTGAGCAACAAAATTTCGCAGTTGGCACTGAATCTTCGGTTCCGGAACAGAGGCAATAGATGGAACAAGCCCACAGGCACTTCGCATCTTGAGCTAAGCTAGCCGAGAATCAATCGAGTCGTCGAAAGTGCAAGGATGCTGTCTGCAATGCCGAAACCTAGAGCTGCGCCAACTATTTTGCACAGCTGCCAGGCGGTGATGAGCTGGGGGTGCCGTTCTTAGACCATTCAAGTGCTGGGCTGAGTGGCACTGGGCGGCTGGGCCACGAGGCGCAAGGCGATGTCTGGCCGTCCGGGTCCCTCTTTCAATGCCTGGTGCCTGCCTGAGCCGACAGCCTGCGACATGGGAGCTGCGGTGGCGTCAGAGGCTTCGGAGCAGAGAATCTTGCAGCACGTCTTGCAGAGGCGCGATGTCGTGCGAGCAAGGCGGCGTGCTCGCGCAGCTGTCGGCAGCGGCCTCAGTACCCGCTGCGAAGCACCAGGATGTCGTACGAGTGATACGATAGTAATGCGCGTGTCGAGTATTGTCGAGTGCCTCGTGCAAGAGGGAGCCACATGAGGTGTTCTGGAACGACAGTGGCTTGGCGGGCGCAAAGGGCTGGTAGTCTGCAGCTTAGCCATTCGAGCTGCTTTTTCTGGCTCTGCCGCCTTTGAGCCTTGCAAAGGCTTCGTATTTCGCGGAGTGGCGCAGTGTGTTGGACCTGAAGCACCAGACTGCGCTGAAGGAGCCGGGACTCGGAGGGGCAGTTGAGTGAATCTTGGAGTATCTCCAAAGCTTCTCACTTTCCTTTGACTCTATGGGGGTCTTGCCTCTTCAGGCCAAGAGGCGCGCGAAGGCCCACGCACAAATCGGCCTCTTGCTGTCCCAGCGCCTGCCTCGGACCTCTTGTGCCAACTCCGTGCATTTCTTTGACATCACTGTCATTACTGTCTCCTGGGCTTTACATGAGACTCTCCATTGCTTTTGAGGTGGGAACGAGGGAAGGCGGTTGAGCTCTCAGACTTGGCCTGGACTTATTTTGCCCAACACTATTGGACTGCAGGGGTATGCAGTATACTTCTGTCCTGGCTCAATCCTAGTTGCCATAGTTGCTGCGTCAGCTGCATATCTCCACAGGCATACCACCACGATTTATCCTCGCCGTCACCAGCCAATGGTACCCTCTGCCACAGGAACATCAGGATTGGCTGCAAGATACGGCTTCAGTTCCCACCGCCGAGAACACAGCCACCCCCTCCCCCCTCACTTAGGAAAACGGGGTTTAGGGGGCGCGGATGCCGAATGGGGGTGTGGCAGCAAGCCCGCTGATAGCTGCTCTTCAGGATCGCAGCGTCCCATGAAAAAGTGGCTGCTTGTGATCCTATGTCTGTTGGAGTTGGCTTGTCGCCCATACAAGAGCAAGTCTGCAGGAGCCACAGAAGGCCGCCGTCTCCGAGCTGGCGCGACGGCTGGCATCATGCAAGGCCTCAAGAAGACGAACAGCCTGTGTGCACAAGTCCGAAGCCGCAAGGATGCCTCCGAGGAGGGCACGAACCTCTACGATGACCCGTTGGCGCTGGTCCGATATCTCCGCGCCAGGCACAGACAGTGACAGCATGTCACGAAAGCTAGCTCTGTTGAGCTCGCGGGAGTTGCCCTTTAGCAATTTTCAGTTGGTCTACCTTGTATTAAGGCACTAGGGCAAAACCAGGGCTTACACCTTATCAGGTGGGACGTCCAAGAGTTAAGGTGGGGGGGTGGGGGGGAGGAGGGGCCGCCCCCCCCCTCACCTCGCTCATGAAGCATTTTGAAGAGACAAGGTGTGGTTTCCCCCCGCCTCCCCCCCCCACCTTTAAGGTTGCGGCGCGTGGGACAAGGTGGGGGGGGGGCTCCCCCCCCCCCTACCCACAGGTCCCCCCCCCCTCCTTCCACAAGGTCCCTGAGTTTGCTTGTGTTTGAAGTTTGTCGTTTGCGCTGCGTCTTGGCTCCAGTTCTTTTTGGTCCTTCGCAGTGTTCGACAGTACTCTCATGTCACATGTGTCCCCCGCCTCACTCAGCCCCAATTGCTCGCAGCTACGCTTCCTCTCCCCTAGCTTTCGTGGCCCTCTTCTCAAGTGAAAGCATCAGGCTCACCCCAAAAAAACTTCAGTGCCCGACCATCAGCATCACCACAGGAACTGGGATCTCGACAAGGGCGAGGTACTTATCCGAAAGACGGCCCGGTGGCGGCAGGCATCCCTCCAGTCGATTTGCAGCGAAATGTCATGATGTCCGCCTGTCAGGAGTTTGGATACAGCAGAATTTTCGACGGCTCCAGTGCGGAGGAATTGGCCAAGGAAAGCCAGCTCGGGAACATGTATGTACGCGGCTACGACAAGACAGGGCGACCGGCACTATACTTTAAGCCCGGCGGGGCAGGTTTCAATGCCGAACCTGCAGGGGTTAAGTACTTGGTGTACTGCGTTGAGCGGGTGCCCAGCCTGCACCGGAGATGTTTGAGAGCTTTGCAAGTGCACGGTGCTCCGGTTACGATCAGTAGACATATCGCTTTGGCACCGAGGCCATTGCTTGCGTGGAAAAGCAGGCCAGGACTGGGCGGCTCGCCCTTCCTCCTGATGACTCTTTGCAATTAAACATTAAACAGTTTTGAGGCTACGTTCTGGTCCCGGAATTCTCAAAGGGCTATGCTTTCGATCGTCCCTTTCTATGAGGATCCGGTCGGAAGGAAGTTCGTCCTGCTGGTCGACTGCGATGGCTTGGGAATGGGCAGCCTTCTGACTGGAAGCATTGTCCGTGACCTCATTGGCGTAATGCAGGCCACCGGCTCTTCGGTCTTAGGTCGTGGCAGAAGAGGGCAAAACCGCGTAAAGCAGTAGGCTGTCGGCATTGTCCTCATGTCTTGTCTCGGACAGTCCGTAGCCTGCGCTTGGAGGGGCTCGACTGCCTCTCCTCATCCTTGATTCAGAAATTCTTGGAGGTTCATGGTGGACAGAGTGTTGAGATTTTTCCTTACAAGGATACCAAAGTTCAGACGCGTGAAAGTTCTCTTGAGCAAGTTAAGCCTATACTCACTGTCGGTGCACTTCAGGAGAAGCACAGGATGGCATAGGGCAGGATTGGTTTTAGCCTTCCTTCGACAAAGGCTCCATGCTCTGCAGGACCACTACCCAGAGCGGCTGGGCGTGGCTTTCTTCGTGAATGCGCCTTTCCTTCTTCATAGCTTCTTCACGGCTGCAAGTACTTTTCTCGACCCGGCATCTCGACTGCAAAGGTCACCGCATGCAACTCGAAGTGTTGGTCCAGGAGTTGTCAGTCCTCGTCCGAAATCCGCCAGTCTGTGCTATGATCTACGGTCTGAGGTGACCATTGCTAAGTTTCAGTTCGTTTCAGAAGAGGGTGAGGACCCGCGGTCCACACCGGACCATCAGTCACTCCTGGAGAGGGTCTTCAACCAAAGTGATGTCATGACAGGAGCGGATGCAGGCCATGTGCCAGCACTTCGACCCAGCCTGCTTAGAGCCTGCCTTCGGTGGGGAAGATGATGAGCCCTTTCGCTCTCACATATTCCTCAACGTGAATCAAGGAAAGGGAGTTTTTGGCGGTGGGCTGAGCTAGAGCTAGCAACAGAAAAGTTGGTGCTGACACTGTACTGTTATCTTGCAACACCTGCACACAAAGGCCTTGAATACGCGGAGCAACTCCGATTAAGCGGGCTTTTGAATGACGAGGAGGCAGATGAGGAAGCAGTGAACTCAACTGGCTCGACTGATTACATGGAGTTCCTGCATGTGTATCGACACTGGTTGCTTGGACGAAGAGCAGTGCTGTCGTTGAAGTCGGCGTCCAAGCCGTTACTGCCCGTGTTTACAGCAAAGGAGAGTTCTCAATCTTCCGCCCACGGAGCGATCACTAGTAAGAGGGCTTGCGAAGCGGCTTGCCTTCTCTCTGACTCGGCAGGTGACTCGCTAGCACTCTGTCGTGTGAGCGTCGGCCGCCGAAGTGTTTCTTCTGCATGTGTCTTGAATCTGCCCAGGAGGACAAGGAGTTCTTCATCGAAGCACCTGTGCTGATCCGTTACCTGCGGTCGAAGAACTGGGATGTGTCGAAGGCCGCCGCTTGCGCCGCTCGGGAGTTGATTGCACACGGCCAGTCGCGTTGCAGGCGGAGGCCGCAGTCTGTGCCACGGCTCAGTGGCGGCAGGAGCCCCCGAAGCCCTTCAATTTATCTGCGTTGTTTCGACATCGTTAGTCTAGACTTTCAAGGGTGGGACGTTCCTATTCCACTTGGCTCCAGCACTGCAGGAGAATGTCTCGTGCTTGTACCTGCCGGATGTGAAAAGTGGCCGATGTTCAGCGGCAATTGTGCGTGAATGTGCGCTGGGCCACTTCTACATTCGGGGCCACTTGGCAGAGTGTTGCTGCCATTCCGTGGTGACAAGTTTGCACTGCTGTCTGACCACTCGGAGAGGTTTCGATCGAAGGCAACGACCCGTTGTGTACGTGAAGTTTCGAAACCCCGACACCCTGCTGATGTTGGTTCTGCAGCATCGAACGTGCATCGCCTGGTTATGTTATGTCCAGCATCAGACCCATCTTACTCTCGATCTGAGGACAGTGGTCAGCACCAGGAGACTCTCAACTACGTCAGGAACTTTGGATCTTGACTGTCTGGATTATCCTTTTCCACGCCGGTGTATGAGCGCTGAGGTGATCTACGTCCTTGAAAGACTCCTAGCAGTGTTGCAGAAGTCGTCGGAGCAGCCGGAAGATGGTGTCGACAATGGATGTGCCACAGTGCTGGTGGATTTCACTGGTTCCCTCCCAAGCTTTTCAATATCTGTGCTGGTCACTGTTTGGATGTACCGTTGGCTTTGCAGCACCTGCAGCAGCTGCATGATGTTGTCGCGAATGCGAGTGTCATGATTCTGCGAAGGCTATGAGTCCAGCAACAGGCGCGGAAAGCAGCGGCAGATTCATTGTCTCTATACTTTAGATTTCTCTGCATGAAAATGTTGTCATGCGTATTTGTCCGAGTGCGCCATCACGCGTATCCCTGGTGTGGCATTACATGGGTAGTCATACCCACGCAGATCTCGACTTAGTTATACGCGAAAGGCATGAATAAGGACAGAGAAAGTCCAAAATGCTATGCCCACTTCCCTCCAAAGGCCTGCAAGCTGAGGTTGCGTCTAGTCTACTTCCCGTGCAGCTCCTCGCCGGTCCATCATAATCAGTTGCAGACTAGTGCATCAAGACATGTGCTTGTATCCGAGCGATCAACCACCTACGGCTTGGTTTTCTTGTGGGGTTTGGGCCCTAGCATGGCCTATGCGGGAGACTGGGAGCTGAACGCTTTCTTTGTGCAGGTCTCATCTTGTTGGGCCTGGGCTAGTGCGGTGAGGGTTAAGTTAGGATTTGGGGTTGTGTTGACGGCTGAGGCTTTCCATGGCTTGGATGCTCGCATGTTGTGGTGCGCGGTTTGAGGTGGTTTGGAGTATCAGGGGCCTTTGGGGCCTTTGCTTCGCAAAAGCTCGGCGGCTTTGGAGAGTTTTTGTGCACAAATTAGGGTTTAGGAAGTTAAGCATCTTTTGGGATTGCTAAAACGGCTAACAGAGGTTTTGCTAGAGCTTGCTTGCTGCTGCTGCTGCTACTGCTACCGCTACCACCGGCACTGCCACTGTCAGTTACCACTACTGCGCCCACTGCCACTATCTAGTGCTACAATTCAATTCGACGCTGCAAGAGCGGGCTCAACGCATTGCGGGCGATTGCCGCACTACGCACTCACTAGTTGGTGGTGAAACTGACGCGATGACCTTACTATGTCTTGATAGTCCACTTTGTTGAGGGTGCGCCCAGGAGACCGATTCACGCTATGCTGCACCGTACCGGTTAGGAGCTGTATTGCATGCTAAATACAGCATGGCGACTCCAACAAAGTTCACTACAGCTGATTCCGTTTGTAATCGCTTGTACAAGCTTTTCATTCTCTCGTGTTGTTTAACTTGCGATGTGGGAGCCAATGTCTTCTGCGTTTCCCAAGCCTAATAATCTGCCGGCTGACCCATCCTGACTCCATGTGTTTCATCAGACTAAGACTGTGCACTGACAACAGACATTCCTGGCAGTTTTTTCGAGCAGAATGGGTCATGTCATTCGTTGTGTTGAAGGTCGCAGGGCTTACCCACAGAAAGTGAACCTGCTTTGTGCGATTTTTTCAAGTCCTCGAGACGGTCTCGGCCAGGCCACGCCTTTGCACACTACGCGCAGCCCTCCACATCTTCCAGGAGCCAGGGAGGGTCACAGGATGACACAAGCATGCAGCTAGATCGCGTGCAAGGGCCTTCGGCACGACCTTTGCCATGGCGCCACACACTAGACCAAACAGAGTCATTGACGCGAAAGGCAGCTATTGGTCAACGAAAAGCCTTTCCGCTGCTCAAACCATGCCACGCCGATCATCCGATTCGAATTGGGCCGTTCTCGCTCGGTCAGTGGCTTTTCGGTTTTGATAAGGTTCCTGCCGCATGTCGTGGGGCCACTAGCAGAGACCGTCGGATTTGAAGCGCCTTCAAAAAGCAGGATCACTACCCCGAGGTCTTCGGGGATGTTTACTTCTATCATCCTCCTCAGAAGATCAGCTGCTTTTGGAGCTTCGTGGGGCCGCTTCTGGATCAACGTGCCTGTGCCCTAGATATCGCGCAGTGCGGACGGTGTACTGCGGGTTGGCCAGGTCCAGTTTGTATCGGCTTTGGCAGAGGTCCGGGACAAGGTGATCTTTGTCACATCCACCACACACTGGCGGCATCTTCTGAACACAATCTTTCGTGCAGATCGGTTCCTGGCAGAGTTCAGAGTTCAGGGTGTCCTGTTTCGATGAGGGTCTAGGCATCGGTCCTTTGCCGACCTCAGGCTGGAGAGAAGCGTTGGCGGGGAGAACCATGCAGTCTTCAGTTCCAAGATCTTCTTGTCAAAGAAGGCCCCATGAGGGGACTAACCTGCGGACTAAGCCTTGCAATCCTTGCCATAGCCGCGCTTCGCAGGTCGGGGGCTTCATTTGGGGAGCCTTGACTCGACAAAGTGTTTCATGAAGTAGTGAATGCACAGCTGACATTGCCAGGCCAAAAGTATCGGCTGTAAAGTTGATTTTTTGCTGTTATGAGTTTGTCCTGAAGCTAGCTGATGATGAACTGGACAGTAGTAGTAGTAGTAGTAGTAGTAGTAGTAGTAGTAGTAGTAGCAGTAGTAGTAGTAGTAGCAGCAGGAGTAGTAGTAGTAGTAGCAGTAGCAGTAGTAGTAGCAGTAGCAGTAGCAGTAGCAGTAGCAGTAGTAGTAGTAGTAGTAGTAGTAGTAGTAGTAGTAGTAGTAGTAGTAGTAGTAGTAGTGGTAGTAGCAGTAGCAGTAGCAGTCGCAGCAGTAGCAGTCGCAGCAGCGGCAGCAGTCGCCGTCGCAGTTAGTCGCAGTGTTGGTAGTCATCGGTCGTCGTCGTGGTAGTGGTAGTGGTGGCAGCGGCAGTGGCAGAGGGAGTAGCAGACACAGTGGTAGAGGGAGTGGGAGTGGTAGTCGTAGTCGTAGTACTAAAGCGATGACTTTTGCTGGCCCTGGTTTGGACGCAGCCAAAACTACGCTATGTTCTTCCTCGCGATGGTTTGTAAGGCACTGAATTCGACGCGCAAGCTGCGGCTCCTGACACCATTCCACGCGCTCGCGTCAGCTTCTCCAACATCGTGCAACAAGTGGAGGCGGGGAGATTTTGTGGCTCTGTGTGGCTGTGCGGAGCACAGGACCAGCTCTCAAAGTCTTGGCAGGAGTCCGGAGCCTCGACGTTGGTGCATGAGCATGCAGAGCCAGAGGGGCCTCTGACGAACCTAGTGGGAACGATTAGCTGGCTCTTCACATAGTTTAACTGACGGGATGTTGCTCCTGGCCACTGGCACAAGTGCCACAAGTGGTGGAGAGCTCTGGCGCAAAGCGCAGTATGGTCGCATTTTAAGTTGGAGCGGGCTCGGGTTCTGACCCAGAAGGTGTGATTGGCTCCCTCCAATTCTCCCGTCCAGAATCCATGCTCTGTGCCCATCAGTTTCAAACGGAAGGTGCCTCAGACAAGCTGCCCAAGGACGAGATCCCAAGCAAGAATCCAAGCACTCATCCGAGCTAAGACTCCTGTCAGAAGTGGGAGGAATGCTGGCTCTGTGGATCTCTGTGGCATAGTGGTTTCATTAAGTGAGACCGTGGCGGCTCTGAGCTACCATTGCTTCTGGATGCTGCCTAGGAAAAGAGTGCTTGCCATCAGCTGCAGCCTGCAAGGTGAAGGTGCCTTTTGGAGGATCTGGCGACTTAGTTTCTGGGTCTGGGGTGCTCGTAGCTTATCTGTTAATCCACTCTTTCAAAACTTTCCGATCCTGACAGTCGGCCACGTGGAGCAGCACGAAACCCCCGGGGATTTTTTGCTCTTCGCCCAGGCCGGGCTGGTCACCAGCTACATGTCGGCTTGGAAGAGAGTCGCCGATGCGAGGGCCACGGCAAGCCGAATGTAGCAAAGCGACGTCGCCGTGGTGTGCTTGAGGCATCAGCAAAAGTTCGAGCACGACGGTGGGGGCCGCTGAGCCCGTGCCGAGTTAAACACAGTGTGTCTCGGTTCGACGCCTTTCGTCATGTTTCAAGCGCTCAGGTCTCGATGCGAGGCCGTACAGCTGGCTCTGCAGAAGCCCGGAGCTCTTGACCTTCACATCAGTGCTTCTGCGCATGCATGTGCATTGGCACAGAGTCTGTATAGGAACCTTTTTCGATTTCGACCTTCTGGCAGCTGAGGTGGCTGCGTGGTAGTGCCCGAGGTCTGCTTCACGAAGCCATGCGCTTGCCAGGAGCTAAGCTGTCCAGCGAATGTTGGCTTTGTGCCGTGTTTCTCTTTGTGGACTGGGACTGGTCGTTGTGGTGGTGGTGGTGGACTGCTACTAGTAGTAATACTCGTCGTAGTTGGAGTAGCAGCCGTCGTAGGCGTCGTCGTCGTAGTAGCAGCAGCAGTAGTAGTAGTAGCAGTAGTAGTAGCAGTAGTAGTAGCAGCAGTAGCAGCAGCAGCAGTAGTAGTAGTAGTAGTAGTAGCAGTAGCAATAGCAGAAGTAGCAGCAGTAGCAGAAGTAGCAGCAGTAGTAGAAGTAGTAGACGAAGTAGTAGAAGTAGTAGAATAGTAGAAGTAGTAGAAGTAGTAGAAGTAGTAGAAGTAGCAGTAGTACTAGTCATTGTCGCTGTGGCTGTCATCCTGCATACCGATAGCCATGGTGTTGTAGATGTTGATATTGATGCTATCCTTGGCGTCGCCGCCGGTGCTTGAGGTGGCGAAAGCTTTACGTCCGTGGCAAACAGGCTATCACGAATTGCAGGCCGCTTCTGGATGAGCCAAGAGCCCTCTCGCAGGCATTGCTTGTCAGCCAATGCTTGGTAGCCTGGGAGCAGAAGGCGGAGGCCGTGGGACAGCCATCACCCTTGGTATTGGTCTCCCTGGTAAAGTGCGGGCTACCACGGAGGTTGGCCTTGTCCACACTTGTTTTGCTGCCTGGTTGAAGATTGTCTCCGTTCGACCCTCAGTTGAAGTTGCTCACCCCAGGCAGAAGCCTGCTGCGTGATGCCAAACTTGCTCGAGAAACGTTCCCGTTGCTGCACGCTGCATGCCGGCGCGACAGGCAGCAGCGTCGAAAAAGCGCAAAGAGCAGTTGCCTCAGTAAGATTCAGTACGATTCGGCAGGGCCGGGAGGGCGTGCAGACGACATTTCAAGAGCAGACTTGATGCTTCAAGTCAAGGCGGAGTCATGAGGCGGTCGTGTTGGCCTTGCAGAAGTCGCGTCCCGAATAGAACATGTGTACCATGACTTCGTTTTGTTGGCTATGCTCCAAAGCTTGCCGAAGCCGAAACAAAGGTGGGAGCGTGGTAGCAGGAATGGGCTACTCCACGAGACTATGACCCAGTGCGAAGCTGAGCTGCAGGCGATCCAAGAGTAACTCTGATTGCAGGATGCCGAAGGCCGAAGGATGCACATGGAGAAATCTCAATGCGTTACGTAACGCAGTAGCATGCCTTGCTGCCTTGCTTGTGCCTGCCACCCAGATGGTTCAAAGTCAGCGTGGCTCGAAGACGGCACGCCGTGGCCACGGCAGATCCACTAGACACGGGTTTGATTCATCAGGTTCAGGATGGCAGTCAAGAGCCGAATTCGTAGTCGATCGAGACTTACTTCCTGCTGACGTTCGCTAAGATTGACCTTGTCAAGAAGAGTTTGGTCTCTTGGGAGCTGGAAGCTGGAGCGAGGGCCTCAAGAGCCAGCAATACCTGTTTAAGGACTTCGGCTTTTTCGGTGCAATGGGTGATGTGGGTGCTGTGTATTTGTCGCAACTGAGTGCGCTTCCTGCAGATTTTGTCATTATCCGCTGTGCAAGGTCTCACTGACCCACACCTGCTTCACTGCTTGGAGCAAGCTCGTGGCCGTCGCATGCCCAGCAAAGGGAAGTGGGGTACATCCCACATTCCGCCGAGTCTTTCATTGGTGTTGCATCGAAGCTGCACTGCTGTACTGGGCTACCCCAGGAAGCAAGGCGCCAGCATATCAAGCAGCCTCGTCCTGAAGTCGTTGCTTCTCGGGTGTCGATGATGTCCATTGAGGAAAGTGCTGTGGATTAGCCAGACAATGCACAGCGGACTGTTGGCAGACTCAGCAATAAGCCAAGCAAGGCACCAAACGGAAGCTGTGGCGTTGGCACTGCAGAAGTGTGAGCCTGAGTATCGTCAGCACGATGATAGGACAGGGTGGCTAAGTTGCTGCCGAGCTGGTACGATGTGAACAAGGTGGGAGCGCGGCAACGAGAAAGGACTGTTGCATGAAGTCTTGGACCAGTGCTCGACCCCAGCTTTCCGGATTCCTGAAAGCCGGGCTTAGCCATCGAGACTCATCGAGCAGCCGAGGTGGTACAAGCTCTTCGTTCCAAGATCACGCCAGGCCTTGTGCTGAAGCTTCTGACCCGATCTGCCAGCACTTTGGACTACTCGAGGCCGCGATGCTCAGCAGTTATCTCGTGTCCTGGGAGATGGAAGCAGAGGTGCTCCGAACACGGAACGCTTCCATAGCAGCACCTGGACTTGGCGAAAGGTCGGCTTGACGCAAACCTGCTTCTCCGCTTGGCGGCATCTCGTCCAGGCACTTCGGAGGAAGCACTGAGTGACAGAGTCAAGGGGCAATGCGCTTTCGGCACAAGGGGGAAGCACGGAGACGTCTCCAAGAGTCTACGCCTGAGAAGAGCCGCCAAAAGACCAGGCCGTGCCTGGCGGTGCCTTGTTTCCTCTGAGGCGCAGCCGCGAAGGTGTGCATCTTGCTGTACAGAAGCAGAACGGCTCAGCCACCTTATGTTCATCTCTAGGGTGTGAGCGCTTTACGATGCCTTGAGGGTTGTGGGCTGCTTCAGCTCAGGTTCTTACTTGGCAACCAGAAGGGGTTGTTGCATGAAGTCATGAGTCTGCCGTGAACTCAATTTGAAGATGACTTTCCTCTTGGTTGTCCACCCCCTCCTGCATGAAAGCTGCCGCAAGCTGAGGTGGCAGCATCTGTGTGCCAAGCTAGCCCAGCGCGCCGAACCCTGAGACTCGAACAGATGCTGTAGGCACTGCGGGCTTCGTCCTTGCTAGGTAGGAGGGAATAACTGATACTGTGGGACCTACAAGTGTGCCGATATCAGTAACGTGGCATGAGGATCTGATCCTGAAGAAGTACTTGGTGTCCTTCGAGATGGAGACGGGGGTCTCATTGGCATGCTTGAATGGAGAATGTCCATGTAGCTTTGCACTTGGCGGACTTGCCACCTAAGGCTGGGAGCAAGGTAGTTGCGTTCCTGCTTGGCGGCCTTGGCGTGGCGGTTCCCCCTCAGGTTCACGGGGCCTTTCTACGGCTGTGTTCAGCCTAGGACTCTTCGCCGGCGGCTCCCCCAACGGTTCATTGGGTCTGGCTGCATGTACTCCTGTGGTGCTTCATGGTGCTTCTGTCTGACGGCCTTCCTTCCGGTGCAATGTACCCCGTGTTTGCACGCATCTGTTATCCTGCGTGCCGTGGGATGGGCGATGGACGTGCCAGGTTGGTCTGACTCAGACTTGCTTGGCTTCCTGGAAGAAGTTGGTCGATGTCGGCGCACCTATCCGTATGCTTCAACTCTGTCAATGTGGCCGCATGCAGCAGCAGTTTCTCCTGCCGAGGCACAGGCACGGCAACGCAGCAAGGAGTGAGGGCCCTAACCCAGCCCAGAGCCTCACAAGACTCACAAAGACATGTTAAGGGTACTTGTTACACATCTCCTGCAGGCACGGGCACGAGGCGGTCAAGCTGGCGCTTCAGAAGTGCGACCCCCGATGCGTTAGCACCCGAACCGTGTGTGGCGTCCTTGCCACCTAAAGTGCTCGAAGGGCAATCCCGTGTTGAGCAATCGTAGTCATGTTAGATTTCGCCGCACAGCTGCGTTGGCTCTTTGTCGATCCTTTCCTTTGCTAGTCCTTGGCCGCAAGTTCGCTCGCCGTCACTGGCCTACGGCATTGCATTGTGGTCCTTGCTGAGGTGGGAGCGAGGCAATGTTGCAGGTCTGTTGCATGAGGTCATCACTCAGCCATCTGCTCAGCCGATGCAAGAAGGGTTGAATGGGATCCATGATGAAGAGAGAGAGAGAGAGAGAGAGAGAGAGAGAGAGAGAGAGAGAGTGCGGACCGCACGGGGGGATGGCCCTGAACGCTGGCCTGAACCCCACGCCCGGTAGAGAGAGAGAGAGAGAGACACACATACCCCTTCGCAAGCAAGCAAGCAAGAGAGAGAGAGAGAGAGAGAGAGAGCGAGACAGAAAGAAAGAACAAAGAGAGCGAGCGAGCGAGGAAGCGAGCAAGCAGGTGTCATGTGATGGAATGCCAATCCTTGAAGATGCTAGTCGAACAAAATTTGAGATATGTGAACAGGAGGGCAACATTGCAAGACTTTCACACTCCTCCATGGTGGCCGGGGGGGTCTCGCGCGCCCCTCATGCCCTGCTGAACAGAGCAAGAGTATCCTCCCTTCTGTGGTCAGCAGCAGTCCTGCCGACTCACCAGAGCCAAGCATTCGGAAAGGGCATGCCTCACCACGAGCGGACCTGGCATAGGGAACCGTTGTGCACCTCATGTAGCTTCGAGCTGTGTTTGCAAAAGCCAGGGCCTCAGGCTCAGATTTTGGCGGCCTACGCAGATTCGCCGGGGGGGCCGGGGGGGGGGGGGGGAGCGGGCTCAGAGCTTGTCCGTTTGTGTCACATTCAGTGCGCGGTAGCGCCCGGGGGCCAGAGCAAAAGCAAGAGTACCAAGTACCACTTTATGTGACGTTGGCACTTGGCAATTTATTTGCAATTGCCGTGACGGATCGTGCAGCCCAGCCCAGCATGCGGGCTCAATCCTCATGGTCCGTTAGAGAGAAGAGTGCCCTCAACCCTGGATGTCTTGACCTGTCCATCTAGGAGGGCTTCCAGTGCAAACCTAAGGTGGCAGCAGCTCTGTGAAAAGCAGCGGCAGCGAGCACAGAGCTAAGCACGTTGTTGTGCAAAGTGCTCCGCCCCCGAGCCGCTGCAGCATCTTGTTGCCATCTTGCTACAGACTGACCTTGCGCTTTTCAAGTCCCGTTCCTGGCACTCCCTTGCACCTCCCGGGATCTGTGTGAATTATTTCCTGTTTCAGTCGAAGGCAACAGGCGCTTGGCAGGAGCATCGACGCCTTCTGCGCCGCGCAGGAATCTGGCTCAGATTTCAATGCATAGACTGCGGTCGTCGCCGATCGCAGCGAACTGGGCAACTCCAGCGGCTGTGATGATGCCGGGGAGAGCACCATCTGAGTCAACCCTCTCCTTGTCCTCCAGCTCAAGCGACTCCACCACAGATGCACCGAGAGCTGAGACAGACAGGAGTGAAGTTCGTGAAAAATCCACACGGCGGCACCGCCGGCAGCTAATGCGTCAGGAGAGGCTCCAGGAGTTCTTACACCAGCACCAGTTTTCACAGGATGTGTGCGAACCACGAACACCTGGCTGCTGCCTTTTTGTGGACCGCGAGATGGTTTATCCGATTCATATTGCCGCGCAAGAGGGCGACCAGGAGCTCATCCGCATGCTGATTGCAAGCAACGCAGACCTGAATCAACGGACCTCAAGGGGCCGAACGGCTTTGGAGTTTGCGGAGGAAGCGGATAGCCATGGCTCCCACAGCGGCGTTTTGGAGTTCCTCAGGAATGACGTCAAAGTACTGGGCCTCCGACAGGCCTTGCAACTCTTGGACAAGGACAAGCAGAATTGAGAGTTGGCACCGACCTGGTTTCACACGTGTATAGGCCTATAGGAACAGGCTGCAAATTTCAGTTCAGTGTTCATTTCCGATTGTTTTTATGCCTTAGGCAGAACATGCGAGGAAAGCTTTTTTTGAGTACACGTAGAACAGAAATTTTCCACTGGCCAGCTGCTGCGGTGCCGGTACTATGCTAGCCTGACACAGCTTCTGGGCTGTTCCCACCAACGAACGCAGATGATTAAAAGGGGGTGAGGGGAGGGATGTGCTGCATCACCCTCGCCAGTTCTCGATTGTGCGCAAGCAGGCAGGCCTGCAAGAACAGCTTCCGAGGCAAGCGAACACGAGTCCGTCCGGCTCGCCTTGCAAAAGCCTCCCTCTCAGCTCGTAGCTGTAGGTTTATGAGTTTATGAGATTCTTTCGTGAAGAGTGGTCGGCATAAAAGATTATTTGGTAGTTTTTCATAATTTAGGTAATCGTTTGGATCATCATGTTCATCATTGTTTTCATCATCATTCCTATCATGTTCTACTCGCTTTCCATGATGTGGCAGAATGGGGGGGAAAAGAGCGCGGGAATGAATAAATGTAGAGAGCCTCAGGAAATCTTCAGTATATGGTTTGGCGGAAAAAGTCCGGGGAAAGAGCATGCGGGAATCCTGGAATTTCAGCTTCATCATTTTCCGTGGTTTTTCCATCGTTTGGCAGAAAGGGCCGGGGAAAGAGAGCTTCAGGAAATCTTCATTCTTTTATAACTTGTTTCATAGGTTTTTATAAAGCTGGTCATCGTTGGGTGGAGAGTGGCAGCGGCAAGGGCATGCGGGAATCCTGGAATTTTGGAAGACTGAGAGCCTCCGGAACTCTAATTTGCCATTATTTTTGGCGAAACTTTGTCATGGTTTGGCGGAAAATGGCCAGGGAAAGGGCGCGTGGGAATCCTGGAATTTTGGAAAATGAGGGGAGCCTCCACAAAATCTTTCTCTTTTAAGTCCTTTTTATCCTTTTGTCATCGTTTTACGAAGAAGGGCCCGAACCGTCCCAAAATGACAAAACATGATAGCGAAACTACAACGAAGTCATGATGAACTCAGGGGTGAAGACTAGAACGCAAAAATCAAATCCCGAGTGATGACCAACAGGATGATAAGAAGAGCAATCAGTCAATACATATATAGTATGTATGTATCTATGTATGTATGTATATATATATATATATATTCTTCGATATTAAATTGAGTTGTATTGCTATTTTATTACATTCTTGCGTTACTAAAGTATGGAACATGATATGATGTTATTTCGTACTATGTGAAATAAGTTTTATCTTCTTTAGATCGTACATTATTGTTAAAGCGCTGTATGTTAGATATTGTAAATTAAATACTACATACTACACAGCGTATTTTAAACATGTACACTTATATATCATATCATACAGTATATATCATATGTTATATGTTACGTACCATATATCGTATATTAAGCATTTTATATTGTGTATTTGGGCTTGTCGGCATGGAGTGCATACTGACCCTGGATTCTTCCCCCTCAATAGTCACAGTAAGTTCGGACGAGTTCCCTGCGGTGCGACTTGTTTCAGCTGGGCGGGTGGCAAAAATATTGTGTATTTCATAATGTATCTATTCTTCTCTATTCCTTTTTTCTCTCTTCTGTTATGCTATATTACGATATGTCAACTATTATGTACTACATATCATTATAAAGATTCGTACAAGTTGCATACACTCGAAAACATGTTATATATTATATACTTTGTATTGTTGTGTCATATATTGTATGATACCTTATTATACATTATAATATGTTTTTATACCTTGTTGTGTTATACTATATTGTAGTATACGTTATCAACTGTTTACTATACATTGTGATATGTATATCTATATATATATATGACAGTATACATTACATGCTATTAGTATAATGCATTTCATTTTAACTTTGTACTATGTTACAGTTTACATCAATTTTACATTATAAGATATTGTAGAGTTCTTGTATCATACTTTTGGCATTCTACTATCATATTATGTTAGATTACAATGTTAGGCTAGATGACAGTGTGATATTTCTATCATATATACTATAAAATATGAGAATGCGTTATATTATATCATATTGCTTTATATTGTGTAGTTTAGAGTATTAAGTTTTATAACATGGCATTGTATCAGGTCATGCTGTATTTAGTGTTTTATGTAATAGGGTATCATGCCTTTCACGCAATCTATATATATATATATATACATATGTATATATGATGTGTACATATATATATATATATATATAACATTGCTTTATATTGCATTATATCATCCTATGTTACATTATATCATACTATACCATACTGCATAAGACTATATGATAAAGCACTATGTCGTTTTGCATGATTATGCATGTTACATTCAACTTTACTATATCATATTATATTCTAAGATATACTACATTATACTATATCATATTTATGATTTCATTTGTGATACATGTTTTCGAGATAAACAGTCTGTAGTTGCCAAACAATCTCATGACTGTAGATGCTGATAGATACGTTCCGAAACAGGCGTCGTGCGTTTGTCTCCTGAGGTGGGAGCGTGGCAGTGTGGAGGGTCTTCTCCATGAGGTGGTGGGCCAGCCTGCACCTCAGCGGTCTTTGTTTTGGAAAAAGCCTCACTTAAGATCACGTCAGGTGGAGCAAGCTCTGCAGTGAGAAGCGAGCGAAAGGGCCTGTCGCCAAGCTTCCCGCACGATGTGTGCCAAGCCTTGAAGCGCAGGCAGCTTTGTGTCGTTGGCACCTAGCCGGAGCATCATAGACTCGATTCAGGCATGCCAGGGAAGCTGTGGCACTGGCACTGCAGAAGTGCGGACCCTCAGCCAGGGTTCAGAGATTGTGACCCCAGGCAGCAGAACTCTTTTGACTTTCGGGACAAGGGAAGCTAGGAAAGCGGAGTCGAGACAGAGATGTTGAGCTGAGGTGGGAACGCGGAAACGTCGCCGGGTTGCTCCACGAAGTCGTGCATGAGAAGCTGCCTCAGTCGTCGCTCTAAGTAACTTGGGGATCATGTTGGCGCATTGGCAGTTTATTGACCGGGTAGGTGGCAGAAGCTCTTCGCCGGGCGTCGGCGAAAGGTTCCATGTCTGCATTGGGGTTGAGGGCGGGCTGGACCTTGTGGTATTGTGTTGACAGCTGGACGGGCTAAGGCGAAGCTGCTGGACAGCTACCTCATAAGCATGGAGGCACAAGCTGGAGTGGCTTGGCTATTGCGTACTTGTGCCACCTGTCTGGCACTTTCGCCAGAGCCTGCGTCGCAAGATCACTGCTTGTCGAAAGGTCGGGCTGCTTGGCAGCTTCTACGCGCTGTGGAAGCACCAAGCCCAGGTGTCAACTTTGCAGTGAGGGAATCCCAGAACCAGCTTGCCATGCAAGCTGCATTGCATTCATGCGGAGTTTCTTTCACAGTGTTGCATGGGCAGGCTGAAGGAAGGAAGCGTGCGAAACAGCCTGCCACCAAGACGATTCTGCGAGGGCAAGCGCTTGCTCTTGACCGCCATAATCTCGCGAAGCATCGTAGACTGCAGGGATGTGCGTCGTGAGGGCTGCGCCACCGAACACATTCGGACGCTCTGCAGCGTGTACTCTAACATAGTTCGACGCAGAAGTGCGACCTTTCTCTTGCGCACAGGGCTTCCTGCGGAGCATTGCAAACTGAAAGTTCAGGCACGGCCGCGAAGCTGTGACGCTGGCGTTGCAGAAGTGCAGATCCTCAGATGCGTGCTGCGGGAGGATTGCTGTGACACTGCGCCGCAGGTCTTTCTCAGTTTGAGCGTCCGGCAAGGGGAATCAGTACAGTTGCTGAGCCGAGGTGGGAACGCGGAAATGTCGCCGGGTTGCTCCACGAAGTCGTGCATGAGAAGCTGCCTCAGTCTTCGCTCAAAGCAACTTACGGATCATGTTGGCGCATTGGCAGTTGCTGACCGGGTAGGTGGCAGAAGCTCTTCGCCGGGCGTCGGCGAAAGGTTCCATGTCTGCATTGGGGTTGAGGGCGGGCTGGACCTTGTGGTATTGTGTTGACAGCTGGACGGGCTAAGGCGAAGCTGCTGGACAGCTACCTCATAAGCATGGAGGCACAAGCTGGAGTGGCTTGGCTATTGCGTACTTTTGCCACCTGTCTGGCACTTTCGCCAGAGCCTGCGTCGCAAGATCACTGCTTGTCGAAAGGTCGGGCTGCTTGGCAGCTTCTACGCGCTGTGGAAGCACCAAGCCCAGGTGTCAACTTTGCAGTGAGGGAATCTCAGAACCATCTTGCCATGCAAGCTGCATTGCATTCATGCCGAGTTTCTTTCACAGTGTTGCATGGGCAGGCTGAAGGAAGGAAGCGTGCGAAACAGCCTGCCACCAAGACGATTCTGCGAGGGCAAGCGCTTGCTCTTGACCGCCATAATCTCGCGAAGCATCGTAGACTGCAGGGATGTGCGTCGTGAGGGCTGCGCCACCGAACACATTCGGACGCTCTGCAGCGTGTACTCTAACATAGTTCGACGCAGAAGTGCGACCTTTCTCTTGCGCACAGGGCTTCCTGCGGAGCATTGCAAACTGAAAGTTCAGGCACGGCCGCGAAGCTGTGACGCTGGCGTTGCAGAAGTGCAGATCCTCAGATGCGTGCTGCGGGAGGATTGCTGTGACACTGCGCCGCAGGTCTTTCTCAGTTTGAGCGTCCGGCAAGGGGAATCAGTACAGTTGCTGAGCCGAGGTGGGAACGCGGAAATGTCGCCGGGTTGCTCCACGAAGTCGTGCATGAGAAGCTGCCTCAGTCTTTGCTGCAGTGTCCAGACCGATGGGCTCTAAGATGTCGGCGGCTGACCTGCTAGGTGGCAGAAAATCTCTGCAGAGCATCGGCGGAAGGTGTTCTGCCTGAACTGTCGGACTCGCCTCCAGCAGTTTCTGATGACGAGCACAGATTGCGAACTAGTTGAAGGGGCGGGCCTGTATTGCAGGTTTTGGTGCAGACAAGAGTTTCCAAGGCAAGCCAACACGAGTCCGTACAGCTTGCCTTGCAAAAGCCTGATGCTGAGCTCTTGGCTGTAGATGCTGCCGTACATCTGCAGAAGCAGGTGTGTCGTGCTTGTCTCCAAGGTGGGAGCGCGGCACTGTGCAGGGTCTTCTGCTTGAGGTGGTGGGCCAGCCCCAGCCTCAGCTATCTTTGCTCCCGTGCAGGCCGCGCCTAAGTGCACGTCAGGTGGCACAAGCTTTGCAGCGAGAAGCGCACGAAGGGGCCTGTCACCGAGATCAACATGCAATCGTGTCTCGAAGTCTCGGGCTGTCAGAGAACGACGAAGAAGTGCGACCCTTCTCTTGCGCACAGGGCTTCCTGCGGAGCATTGCAAACTGAAAGTTCAGGCACGGCCGCGAAGCTGTGACGCTGGCGTTGCAGAAGTGCAGATCCTCAGATGCGTGCTGCGGGAGGATTGCTGTGACACTGCGCTGCAGGTCTTTTTCAGTTTCAGCGTCCGGCAAGGGGAATCAGTACAGTTGCTGAGCCGAGGTGGGAACGCGGAAATGTCGCCGGGTTGCTCCACGAAGTCGTGCATGAGAAGCTGCCTCAGTCTTCGCTCAAAGTAACTTACGGATCATGTTGGCGCATTGGCAGTTGCTGACCGGGTAGGTGGCAGAAGCTCTTCGCCGGGCGTCGGCGAAAGGTTCCATGTCTGCTTTGGGGTCGAGGGCGGGCTGGACCTTGTGATGTTGTGTTGACAGCTGGACGGGCTAAGGCGAAGCTGCTGGACAGCTACCTCATAAGCATGGAGGCACAAGCTGGAGTGGCTTGGCTATTGCGTACTTGTGCCACCTGTCTGGCACTTTCGCCAGAGCCTGCGTCGCAAGATCACTGCTTGTCGAAAGGTCGGGCTGCTTGGCAGCTTCTACGCGCTGTGGAAGCACCAAGCCCAGGTGTCAACTTTGCAGTGAGGGAATCCCAGAACCATCTTGCCATGCAAGCTGCATTGCATTCATGCGGAGTTTCTTTCACAGTGTTGCATGGGCAGGCTGAAGGAAGGAAGCGTGCGAAACAGCCTGCCACCAAGACGATTCTGCGAGGGCAAGCGCTTGCTCCCTACCGCCATAATCTCGCGAAGCATCGTAGACTGCAGGGATGTGCGTCGTGAGGGCTGCGCCACCGAACGCATTCGGACGCTCTGCAGCGTGCACTCTAACATAGTTCGACGAAGAAGTGCGACCTTTCTCTTGCGCACAGGGCTTCCTGCGGAGCATTGCAAACTGAAAGTTCAGGCACGGCCGCGAAGCTGTGACGCTGGCGTTGCAGAAGTGCAGATCCTCAGATGCGTGCTGCGGGAGGATTGCTGTGACACTGCGCTGCAGGTCTTTCTAAGTTTCAGCTTCCGGCAAGGGGAATCAGTACAGTTGCTGAGCCGAGGTGGGAACGCGGAAATGTCGCCGGGTTGCTCCACGAAGTCGTGCATGAGAAGCTGCCTCAGTCTTTGCTGCAGTGTCCAGACCCATGGGCTCTAAGATGTCGGCGGCTGACCTGCTAGGTGGCAGAAAATCTCTGCAGAGCATCGGCGGAAGGTGTTCTGCCTGAACTGTCGGACTCGCCTCCAGCAGTTTCTGATGACGAGCACAGATTGCGAACTAGTTGAAGGGGCGGGCCTGTATTGCAGGTTTTGGTGCAGACAAGAGTTTCCAAGGCAAGCCAACACGAGTCCGTACAGCTTGCCTTGCAAAAGCCTGATGCTGAGCTCTTGGCTGTAGATGCTGCCGTACATCTGCAGAAGCAGGTGTGTCGTGCTTGTCTCCAAGGTGGGAGCGCGGCACTGTGCAGGGTCTTCTGCTTGAGGTGGTGGGCCAGCCCCCGCCTCAGCTATCTTTGCTCCCGTGCAGGCCGCGCCTAGGTGCACGTCAGGTGGCACAAGCTTTGCAGCGAGAAGCGCGCGAAGGAGCCTGTCACCGAGATCAACATGCAATCGTGTCTCGAAGTCTCGGGCTGTCAGAGATCGACGAAGAAGTGCGACCCTTCTCTTGCGCACAGGGCTTCCTGCGGAGCATTGCAAACTGAAAGTTCAGGCACGGCCGCGAAGCTGTGACGCTGGCGTTGCAGAAGTGCAGATCCTCAGATGCGTGCTGCGGGAGGATTGCTGTGACACTGCGCTGCAGGTCTTTTTCAGTTTCAGCGTCCGGCAAGGGGAATCAGTACAGTTGCTGAGCCGAGGTGGGAGCGCGGAAATGTCGCCGGGTTGCTCCACGAAGTCGTGCATGAGAAGCTGCCTCAGTCTTCGCTCAAAGTAACTTACGGATCATGTTGGCGCATTGGCAGTTGCTGACCGGGTAGGTGGCAGAAGCTCTTCGCCGGGCGTCGGCGAAAGGTTCCATGTCTGCTTTGGGGTCGAGGGCGGGCTGGACCTTGTGATGTTGTGTTGACAGCTGGACGGGCTAAGGCGAAGCTGCTGGACAGCTACCTCATAAGCATGGAGGCACAAGCTGGAGTGGCTTGGCTATTGCGTACTTGTGCCACCTGTCTGGCACTTTCGCCAGAGCCTGCGTCGCAAGATCACTGCTTGTATGTCGAAAGGTCGGGCTGCTTGGCAGCTTCTACGCGCTGTGGAAGCACCAAGTCCAGGCGTCATGTTGTGGACTGTTGCGGTGCTGGGAGGGGACCTCGGTTGCATCCTGATGTTTAGAAAGGTGGACAGGCGGCAGCGTGCCAAAGCGTCGGAGCCTCAACTGTGCTCTTGTGGCCGCAGCTCCTGTCTTCGATGTGCTCCAATACCATCCGAGCCCAAGTCGAGCTTTGGTGCGCTGTTTGGATGTGCAGTCGTTTTAGCGGGCATGTTACCATGTTACTGCCGAGCACTGCAAGATTGTTTCATCCAAGTTCAGCAAGGAGTCCTTGATCGGTGCCATGGATCCTCCTAGCTGCTTCTAGCCAGCTTTCATGAAAATTCCACCACTTGCCGGCTGTCTCCACGGCAGTCGCAAACTATTCCCGAAACTCGAATCCGCGAAGACTCCTTGTCATTGTCTCTGTACCAAGTCCATTCGGCCACACTTGCCACACTGCAAGTTTTGCTATCAGCCAATGGACTGCCGCAAGAGGCATGGCCGTGAAGCTGTGCACCTAGCTCTGCAAAAGCCAGAGACTCAGCTCCCTGCAGCACAGGCCGTCAATTCAGGACATTGCTATTGAAAGTATGTCTGCGAGCGCCACAGCAGGTGGGAACGCGGAAACACGCGCGGCCTGCTGGCAGAGACAGTGGCGGAGCACAAGCCTTGGGATTCATGCCGTGACATGATGCCGCAAAGGGACTTGCGCGAGGAAGGTGAGCTGTGCACATTCCAGCTCGGGACAAGTTTGGCATTTTCGATCAAGGTGGCATCGTGTTTGGCAGCTGCACAAAGGAGAGGCGCCACCCATGCCTCAAGTTCTATTTGTCGCTTCCTCCAGATTTCTCCAGGTTCTATCTCTTTATCTCTCATGTCCAAACACATTGAAGATGTTCAGGCTCGCCGCGAACGATCTCACCAAGCAGTGCTGATGATGTAGCGGCGTCAGCACTTTTGGACACCTCTTGGTCTGCACCTGCTCGATTTTCTTTTCCTCTGGGGCAAGGTTGCACAGATGGCGCCGGCCCGGCCCGCAAGGAACTGCAGCCAGCAGCCCAAGTGAGATGAAAAAGTTTGCTGAGAGAGTCGCAGGCGATGGCTGTGCTTGTCGCCACAAGCGGTACTGTGAGGCCTGCGCCATTTCTGTGTGGGCACGCCTCGCCGTGAAGCGGAGAGGTGGATGCTCCGAGATGCGTTTGAAAGTGTTTGCGTTACAGCGCCGTGAGCCAGTAATGAGATGTTTGAGGACGGTCACGTGCTGCCGCAGCAATGGAGCAAGGGGCTCGGGACGAGCGCTTTGACTTGCAAGGTGCCCATGCCCAGGCTGCGAATCTGAGACTTGTGGGGCTCTGTTGCGGCTGAGGGCTCAAGAACGTGTTCCTTTGCCACATATAGTGGCGCTGCTTTGGTAGCTGCGATGGCTTCCTCCATGCTTCGAGTGGCTTTCGGAAGAAGTGCAACCATTGCATGCAGGAGAGCTGCGGCTTCTTCCGCTCTCGGCAGGAGGCCGCAAGTGCCGCAGTGGCCAGCTGCAGCTGTTCTCCGCTTTCGTGGCTTCTCCTCTGAGCCATCGATGGAAGAGCGCGTGATCGGCGCCGTGAAGCGATACATCGAGGCGCGCAAGGATGATCTGTCTCGGGACAACGACGTCGACGCTGTCAGTAAGGGCGAGATCCTGAAAGCCTTTGAGAAGGACGTCTCCTCGGCAACAACTTGGGACGATCTAAAATTCGATGATGTGGACAAGGTGGAAGTCCTTCTGGAGGTGGAGGAAGAGTTCAACCATGTGATGCCGGATGCCGTTGCAGACAAGCTATCCTCAGTGAAGGAGGTGATTGACTACATGCAACAGAAGTAGTTGCAGAAGTCCGTTTTGCTGGCAGCTGAGGCCTGATTTGCAGAAGGTGCTGCCTTGCGGTGCTGAGACAGTAGAGAACTTCCCCTCACGGGTGCAATGACGTGTGAGAAACACACGCAAACTTGGCATGTCCTGTAAAAGTCTCTTGGGAACGTCCGTGCGGTACTCTGCGACTGTGTTGGGACGGATTTTTGCTTGTCCTGCTGTTGCTGGTGCAGCCGAGGCGTCAAGTTGCACGATTCTTGCTTGGGCGGGCTGGGGCCATGCTCCAAGCTGTGCAGCTCTCAGTGCTTCCCGAGTCCCGAGGGCCGGAGAGGGCGAGTCGTGGTAATGAGCTGGTGCTGGCAAAGTTTCTCTCAGCGATTGAATTGGCTTGCGCGGAGGTGGTTTCTGAATGGCAGCGCCAGCCCCAGACAGTGCAGTAGAGGCAGCTTCGTGCAGCCTTAGCTGCTTTATGTTGGTACTGGGGTTTCCCGTGTTCCTCCTTGGTCAGTTGCGCGAAGTGGAGCCATTTGCCTCAAGCACTGGTCGGTGCAGCCTGCGCCAACCTGCGATTTCATCTGCAACTCCTTCCGAGGCTTGACTGCAACGGCACGCCGAGACGTTCTGCTGTTGTTGTTTCTTAGTTGCGGTTGTCGAGGGTTGTCGTGGTTGTCGTCGTTGTCGTGGCCGTTGTGGTTGTTGTGGTTGTAGTTGAAGTTGAAGTGGTAGTGGTATGGTATGTAGTGCTTGCCATAGCACCAGTGGTACTGGTAGTGGTAGTAGTGGTAGTAGTGGTAGTAGTAGCAGCAGTAGTAGCAGTAGTAGTGCTGGTCGTGTGGTGGTGGTGGTGGTGGTGGTGGTGGTGGTGGTGGTGGTGGTGGTGGTGGTGGTAGTAGTCGTGGTGGTGGTAGTAGTAGTGGTGATAATAGTAGTAGTAGTAGTAGTAGCAGTAGTAGTGGTTCTGGTAGTAGTAGTAGTAGTAGTAGTAGTAGTAGTAGTAGTCGTAGTAGTAGTAGTAGTAGTAGTAGTAGTAGTAGTAGTAGTAGTAGTAGTAGTAGTAATAGTAGTAGTCGTAGTAGTAGTCGTAATAGCAGTAGTAGTCGTAGTAGTCCTTGAGTCGTAGTAGTCCTATGGTCGTAGTAGTCGTACTAGTCGTCGCAGTCGTAGTCGTCGTAGTCGTTTCTATTCGTCGTAGTCGTAGTATGTCGTAGTCGCAGTAGTCGTCGTTGCCGTCGCCGTGGTAGTCGTAGTTACTAAGCAGTCGTCGTAGTCTTGTTCGTAGTGGTAGTCGTAGGCGAAGATGTAGTCGGAGTAGTGGTGCTGGTGGCGGTGGTGGTTGTTGTGGTGGTGGTAGCGATAGTGGCAGTGGTAATGGTAGTGGTAATGGTAGTGGTAGTGGGAGAAGTAGTCGTAGTCCGAGTCGGCGTCGTAGTCGGCGTCGTAGTCGTCGTCGTAGTAGTAGTAGTAGTCGCCGGAGTAGTAGCAGCAGTAGTAGTAGTGGTAGCAGTTATTGTCGTCGTCGTCGTCGTCGTTGTGGTTGTTTTGCTTGTTGCGGTTGTGGTTGTGGTGGTGGTGGTGGTGGTGGTGGTGGTGGTGGTGGTGGTGGTGGTTTGCTTGTCAATGTGGTTGTGGTTGTGGTTGTTGTTGCTGTTGTTGCTTTGTTGTTGTTGTTACTGTTGTTCATCGTCATAGCAATCGTCATCATCATCTTCTTCCTTTTCGTTTTGTCTCTTCTCTTTCTCGTTCTTCGCAATCTCATTGTTGTGGTCTCTGTGACCGTGGAGCTTGGGATAGTGACTATCGGATGGTGGTGGTGGTGGTGGTGGTGGTGGTGGTGGTCGTCGCCGCGGCTGTCCCCATCGCCCCGGCGTCGTCTTCGTGCTGGTTTTCCTCGTCGGCGTCGTCGATCTTGTTGCACTGTGGGGACGCTGTGCCTGACGCTCCTTTTCATGTTCTGGCTTGTGTTCTTGTTTCTGTCGCTTGGGGCAGTCGCAGCTTCGGAACACACGAGAAGTGCACCCGCACCGTTCTGCTTTTCGAAGTCGTTGGTCCTAAGGTGATACATCGTAAACGTCTTTCCACCATGGCTCTCATTGCAGACATCCTCGTGAACAACGCAGGCTGGAAGGTTTCAGTCAGTTAGCTGTGTCAAAACGCTTGGGGTGAGCGGCGAAAAACGTTTGACTTTGGGAATGTTGTCAGGCCTTCCAAAGCTCGGGGATGTGCGCCACCACTTCGAGATCCGTGTTCCTGCAGCAGCCTCACTTGGAAACAGCGTCAAGCCGAGGGGCTCCTGTCAAACGCCTGGAAATTTTGGGTCTTGAGCCCTCCAGCTGCAATTTGCTCTTCTCTTAGGTTGGTGTTGGGGTCGACCCTGTTGTTGTTGATCCTTGGCTGCAAGGTGAGGCTGCTCGGGCACAGCAATTTTCTTCAGATTCGTGCAAGAACTGTTGACATGAACAACCTGTGAAGCGCAAAAATGCAAGGTTGGTGTTTCAGTTGTTGTCTAATGCGGCATCTTGGGGCGTTGCTTCGATCTGCTGGACGTGTTCGAGATGGCAAACATGCGGCCAGAGCCCTCGGCAACACGCTGCCAGGCTGAATCGGTGAATTCATCTCGTCAGTTGAAAGTCAAAAAAGAGAGAAATTACCGGATGCTGCCAAGGCTACCAGCACTCTGCTCATAATGTCCGCGTCCAAGTCCGTAACGAAGTTCTCTGCAGCGCTCTGCCTGGAGCCCAACATGGTCTCGCCCAGATGCAACGCCGGCTGACCGGATGCAGCTTGGAAGAAAGGACGGGGTGAACGGAGTGGACGCGGGAGGGGGAGGTTGACGTATCTTTGGAGGCTCCATGGGCTCCTGAGCCGTTTGGGGAGCGAGCAGCGCAAGCGGATGTTCTCCAGGCTGACGCAGGCGGGTTGGGAATTCCAGAGGTGGAAATTCCATGTTTTGGGACACGTACGTGCAGCGCAAGGTTGATGTGTTGTTGTTCCGTCTTGAGCGCAGGCACAACGCCAGAAGCTGGAACAGTGTCTTCTGGCCAAGTGCGAAGTTCAGCGGAGGAGCTGGCGTCGTGGCAACATAGCCCTTTCAACATGGGGGTTTCTACAGTGGGTGTGGCAATGCTGTGCCTGCCGGGAGAAACCTGGGTGTGCACAACGGCAGTGGTCCAAGGCGTGTCTTATTCGATCGAAACAGCGAACAGTAACAGTAGGCATTGACACGGCATGACATGGCTACTGCATGGGCGACGCCTGTCGTGAATAACTGCATGAGCCTCTGGCAAACGGCGCCACCCCCGCTCGAGCGGCCACGGCATATGTAGCAGGGCTTGGAGCTTCCACCAGTAAGGGAGCATGTCGGAGGATTCATGCAGGCGTGTCGCTCCTGAGGCAAGGGGTCACAGTCGTCGCGAGATCATGCGATGAGGCGCGAAGCGCAGATGGGTTCGCAAACAGGATCGCCAGCCGAAATAAAAGATTTTGCCGATGTGGAAGGAAAGAGATCCCCGGAGGAGCAGCCCGCTGATGCCTCGAAGAGGTGTCACACTGTCACACCTTGCCTTTAGGTCCGTGACCGTCGCGCAGCGCAGGCCATGATCCTTCCGATTGGAGCCGGGCCTCGTCCCGGGCACCTTCTCAAAAGGCATGGTGGCAGCCGCAGGTTGAACGCAGCACGCCCTGAGCATGTTTAAGCAGCCTAGCAGGCCCGCGGCCACGTGCAGATTCCGGGAGTCTACAAACGCGTGGTTGCAGGCTGGTGGTGTTGGGCCTTGACTCGGAAGTTCAAGGCCCAAGCTCAACCTGAGGACACATCAGCTACGAAGCCACCTGCAGAGCTGGGCCTTTCAACTTGAGCACGAAGTGGACCAGAAGCTGGGAAGCCGCGGAAAGGTTCACCAAGGCCTCCCACGTCCCACGTGGGGTGGCACGGGGCGCCACGCAGCTTTACGTTTTCTGCACAGGTCCTGACAGGAATAAGACAGCGGGTGCTCCAGTCAGGTGCAGAGATCGAGGCCGCAGGCGCCACAAGTGTGGTGGTGATCTTGTCTTTGAGAGATTCGCAGGTGAGTTTCAGAGAAGCCATCGCCGAAGAGCTGTGGCAAACTGGCCTCAAAGCTCGCGAGGCTGGTGCCTGGTTCCAGACACCACGCTGCCGCTGCTTCATCTGAACACGTGATTCGCAGGATCTCAACCTGGCCTTTGTCGTGCATGTGGGCGCTCGATACTGGGCGGGGGCCTCCGCATCTCCCTCCCCCTGTTTCAAGTAGGAAGCCAGAGAATTCAAGTCTAGCCGCCAGCCAGCGGCCAGCGGTCAGCGGCTCCTCATTAGGTCGGGAGGACTTTGGAGAGTCCACGCTTCGCTGCCAGCGGCTTGGGTCTCGAGAGGGGCCTCAGCGCTTTCCGCCGCCTCCGACAGGCGCCGCCCCAAGCACAGAAAACTGCTACGCTACGTATGCCGCTATGAAAGAGAGTGCGCACTCTCAGAGGCTCGTGGTGCCGTCTTTGAGGGGGCATGCAACGAGATGTCCCTGCTCATGAAGCACAGCCCAGGCAGACTGATGTTGAAAAGCCTTGTTTATGATGAATGATCATCGCCTGTCGGCGTCTCACAGCAGGCGAGTTGAGCGAGGCCTGGCAGCGTCTTCGCATGGTGTACCTGGACATCTGGGAGCAAGCAGGCCACGGGCTGGAAAATGCTGAAAAGCATAAGCAGTACCTGCCTGCGCTGACCTGTTTGCATGTTGGCGTACGTGGAGGAGGATCTCTGAAGAACACATGGGACATGGGCACAAAATGGAAACGACGAACACGAAAAGGAGGAGAGATCCATTGCGCAGGTCATTCCCGCGAGCGTGTTGCTCGTCGCCTGGATTCTCTGGAGGCCCAGGGTTCAGAGTGTCTGGTCTCTGTTTTGTGACTGCTTGGATGTGTTGACTAGAATCTGTCCTCGACGTATGCAGTCTGTCGGCATCGATTGGGAAACAGTTTTCGCAGCACCGGAGGCAAAGCAAAGGCCTCGGCGCTTGCAGGCGCTGAGGCGCTGGCGTCAGGCGCTCAGGAGAACAGGTTTGGTCACACTTCTATCAAGATCCACTAGTTTCATCAGCGGGAATGAGACAGTGCACGATGCACAGGTGCCCGGCAGAGGCAGCTAGCAGCATCGAGGACCTGCTCTGAAGGGTGGTAGCTACTAGCATGGTTTTGACTTTGGTACAACTACAGGCGGCGCATGTGAATCTCAGAGACATCTCGAGTAATCTGCAGCTCCCAGAAATTGAGGAGGCAAGCGCGGCCGACGTCCGGTCGAGCCTTGGCAGTCAACGAAATTACTTGACATGACATCTCATAGTTCGGGCCGCGAGGCCCACCCGAAGAACCCACGTAGACCACCCGAAAACCCTGCGCATGTTTGTG